GAGGAGGAGCAGCTCCAGGACCTGCTCCTTCCTCCTCGGCTTCCACCGTCTGGATGTTCGATCCGTCTTTTCCTCCTCGCTGCTCCTTCTCTTCCGTTAAGTGCTCAGGAAGCGGAGCTGCTGCTGATTGAAGCTGAAGCTCGTCGCTATTTAAAGGTGCATTAGCTGAAGATCTGATGCTGCCATCGGAGAGACGATAACCGAAGGCAGCACGTCTTCTGGATCCACTGAGTGTGTAAAGACAGACGCAGTCGTTTGACTGATTGGAATTAAAAGCTCACAACAGTCTGATGCCAATCTGAATGTTTAAAGACTAAATAACAGCAACTTATGACAATAAATAACTGGAAACCTGCCAGCGGGTTAAAAATGCATGTTATTGTTTTAAAAAATCACCAAAATTACACCATTTATCAGAGCAAGATATTATAAAAACTGAAAAAAATCACTGGGTTCTCACCTTTCTGACTGTCCTTGAACACATCACGTGTGATGTTTGGTTTCATTGGGAAAAATCACCAAATCTAAGATTAAAATTTTAATATTTCATCAAAATCGCTTTATTCAACATTTAAAAATTGGTAAAAAAAAAAAAAAAAAAAAACTCATTTCCTGTAACCACATTCTATAAAAAACAAAAAATTCTGTGTTTCTTGGTGCAACTGAGAAGCTATGTCTGACTCAGCTGTGACCAACAGTCACCTAACAAAAATTCATAGAGTTTTTGGTTGAACTGCAGGCAGTGTGTACAAAGAGTGGTGAAGACACAAATATTATAAATTAAAAATGTAAATTATTAAATATGTTTAGTAAGTGGAGCCTCCATTTTTATTTCTAGTGTTGGCAACATCTGTGGGTATTTCAAAAAAAAATGTTAGGCAAGTTGATTCCAGTTTTATCCAATTTTTAAAAAAATAAATAATCCCAGAAATTCGTAATTTTATAATTTGTTCTCACTTATTTCTGCCTTAAATGTGTTTTACTGCACAGAGTTCAGAGGTTTTGCAATTTCAGTATTATTCTTCCATAATAAGACGTTCTTCAGACAAGTGGAAAGAAAAAATCCAGAAACACGTCTAGGTGTTTAATCTGCTGCTCTTATTTGCTTTGCATCTGTAGATTTCATTTCTATTTGACATCTGTAACATCTGTCTTCTCAACGTGGGTTTTAGTGAAACTCTAGGCAGCAGCAAACTTTCCAGTTGTTGTTGTTTTCAATCTACAAACTACTCTGAAGGTTTTTGACACTTGAGGTTGTTCAAAGATGCTTCATTTCATGATTTATAGAACATTTTAGCAGTAAAAACCTGGTGAAGATTCAGTTTTTCCTCTGGATGTTCTGATTTATGGATTAATAAAAAGACTGATATGTCAACAACATGAAGCTAGTTTCATCTGACTGGAAACTAATGCAAATTATTGCATATTTACATACATAATGCCTCATTTCTGTATTTAAACATAACATGTCAGAGAACTTGTACTTCCTAAAAGCATTGTTTTACTGTTAGTGAGCAGCTTGGGGGAGTTTCATGCAGATTTCAGTTTCTGCTCACTGACATTTCCCAGAATGCTTCTTATATAAAAGCATCTGGACCCTTTAAGACAAACTGTTGTGTTTTCAGTCTCCATGACTAGAAAGCTGACCTGGATGTGTAGGAATCCGTGCGGTCCGGCTGTACGCGGCTGATACGTGTAATAACAGGCGAGCCGGCGAGTCGGAGCTCATCAACAGAAACTCGTCGTGACAAGACGATCAATCATCATGCAGCTCTGTGGCAGCGTGTGAAACGTCCACCGCTCTCTGAGTTTATCGGAGGCCGCGTCGTTAGAATTAATGCGAGGTCGGTTTACTGTAAAACGTTACTGACAAGTTCAGCAGATGAAGAATAAACAGGGTGGTCTGATCAGTTCTGCAGCGTTTCACTAGTGTGAATAAAAAGTTATACAATTAGTTGAGCTTATTGCGTATTTAAGGGTTTGTTAAACTATACAGCTGTTGTACACTTTGTGTCGTGTGATTCGGATCTTCTTGGATGAACTTCTCTGAGCTTCATCCACATCTATAAATATCATCTTCCATCTTCTCATGCAGACCCACTTCTGTTCTTCACTGTCAGGACGATGCGTTCACTGTGGTACACCCGCCTGGATTCACAGCCCGTAGTTGTAATCGTCTTGTGTCTCATTGTGTTGCACATCTTTGTGGTAACTTTGTGTCTCCTTTCAGTGATTTTGTGTCACATTTTGCGAATTTGTGTGGTAATTTTATGTCTCATTTGGTCATTTTGTTTCTCCTTTTGGTCACTTTGTGTATTGTTTTGGTCATTTTGTATCTTGTTTTGGTGATTTTGTGTATCATTTTGGTCATTTTGTGTCTCCTTTTGGTCATTTACCTGTCGTTGCTGTCATTTTGTGTCTCGTTTTGGTGATTTTGTTTCTCCTTTTGGTCATTTTGTGTCTCGTTTTGGTCATTTTGTGTCTCCTTTTGGTCATGTAGCTATCTTTGTTGTCATTTTGTGTATCGTTTTGGTCATCTAGTTATCTTTGTTATCATTTTGTGTCTCGTTTTGGTCATTTTGTGTGTCATTTGGTAATTTCGTGTCTCGTTTTGGTCTTTTTGTGTCTCGTTTTGGTGATTTTGTTTCTCCTTTTGGTAATTTCGTGTCTCGTTTTGGTCATTTTGTGTCTCCTTTTAGTCATGTAGCTATCTTTATTGTCATTTTATGTCTCATTTTGGTCATTTTGTGTCTCGTTTTGGTCATTTTGTGTGTCATTTTGGTCATTTTGCTATCTTTATTGTCATTTTGTGTCTCCTTTTGGTCATTTTGTGTCTTGTTTTGGTCATGTGGCTACCTTTGCTGTCATTTTGTGTCTCGAGTTGGTCATTTTGTGTCTTGTTTTGGTCATTTTGTGTCTCCTTTTGGTCATGTAGCTATCTTTATTGTCATTTTGTGTCTTGTTTTGGTCATTTTCTGTCTCCTTTTGGTCATTTTTCACATCTTTGTGATTATTTTGCATCTCATCTTGTGTTGTTTTTTTCAGTACAGCGTGTTCTAAATACTGCATCCCCCCTGAAACCTGTCCCCTGCCTAATGTGTTCCCCCGTGTTCACATGAAATCTACCCTCATGCGCACAAATAATGCACACATGAGGAGATAAAGCCCCTCCGGCTGGTTTGCGCTTTGCCGCCGTCTCCTCCGTCTTCATGTGCTTCCATCTCCCTCCTGTTGTCTTCATTATTTTTAGCCGGGCGGTGGGCTCGCGGTGTCTTCAGGGTTTTCTCTGTGACACCTATCCGTTTGCATTCAGTCACTCGGCAGCAGGAAAGGCCAGCTGGTTTCTGATCTGCTCGATTGTCTCTGCTAGGAGGGATTTGAGGCGGTCCGGTTCATTCACGCTGAGCTGTAATCCTATAATTTATCACCGAGGGATGCTGGATATCGCAGAAGGGCCCTCAGTCCCTGAAGTGATACTGTAGGAATAGTAGTGTGACATAATCAGGAGTAAAAATACCACAAAGTGCATCACACACACTCACTGTAAGTCTCTGTGGGAATATTATACTGCAGTCGGGCTTCATCCTCGCAATCCTGTTTTCATGCTAAATACGCAGTGAAGACGAGTACCAGAGACAAACTGCTGCAACAAACTGGTTATTTGTTGATAAATTAATGACATCAAGTGGCTGATTTTGAGGGTTTTTTTGCAGTTTTAATCAACTGCAAAGTCATAACGTGACTCCTACATGTGCTAAACAGGGATTTGAAGTAAATATTCAACATGTTTGTTTATTTTAAGAGGGAATTCCATTAATGTGGCCAATTTGTTGTCATTTATTGTCATCATTTTGCACGTCTTTGTGGCAGCTGTGTCTTATTTTGGTCATTTTATGTCTCTTTGTGGTCATTTCGTGTCTCCTCTTAGTAATTTTGTGTCCTGTTTGGTCATTTTGCATGTATTTATGATCGTTTGTGTCTCATTTTAGTTTTTTTGTCTCTTATTTTGGTAATTTTGCATGTATTTGTGCTCATTTTGTGGCTCATTTTAATAGTTTTGTGTTATGTTTTAGTCCTTTTGTGTCCAGTTTAAGTCATTTTTTTGTCTCTTTTTGGTGATTTTGCTTCTCAATTTAGTCATTTTGCATGTTTTCATGATCATTCTGCATCTCAATGTGCCTCTTTTTGTGGCTATTTTGCATCTTTGTGGTCATTTTTGTTTTGTTTTGTCTGATTTAGGTAATTTGGTTTTTCTTTGTGATCAGTTTGCCCTCATTTTTGTTGTTCAGGTCGTCATTTTGTTCGTTTTGTGGTTATTTTCTGTCAGATCTTAGTAATTCTGTGTCTCATTGTAGTTATTTTGTGTGTTATTTTGGTCATTTTTTTGTCTCTGGTAATTTCTGTGGTGATTCTGTGTCTCTTTTTTGCCAGCTAATGCAATTTTTTGGTCATTTTGCATCTCTTTCCGTTCCTTTTGTGTCTCATTTTGGTTATCTGACACATCTTTGTGGTAATTTTGTGTCTCATTTGGTCAGTTTTGCCTTTTTCTGTTGGTATTTTGCATCCTTGAGGCCATTTTTGTTTTGTTTTGTGTGGTTTAGTGGTAACTGGTGGTAATTTTGTGTGTCATGTTGGGTTATTTTACATGTCTATGACTATTTTTGTCATGAATATCAATAAAATTTTGTTTCTCATTTTGTTCATTTGATTGTTTTGCGTCTCTTTGAGGTAATTTCGCGTCTCGTTTTGGTCAAGTCGTGTGTATTAAGATGTTTTAAGAAAACGACAATCGAAGACGTTGGGCGCGCTGGGTTTATTTTATTTTATTTTATTTTATTTTTTGCGGAGCGGCTTTTATTTTGAAAAGGCTGAGCGGATTGTCGAGGTGAGCGCGCACAGCTCGCCCGTCGCTCGCGCAGCTGTAGGAGACGAAGAAGCGGAGTCGCGCGGACAGGTTGGATGCTATTACCGGGAGACCGGCGGAGGAACCGGACGGCAGCATGACGGCGTCCAAAGACCCCACGAAGAAGAAACCCAAAGAGAGCCAGCAGGACGAGGTACCGGGACTAGGACTGGGAGGACTGGGAGCTTTACTGGGAGCACTGGGAGCTTTACTGGGAGCTTTACTGGGAGCTGTAGTGGTTCCTAGTGTGGAGCAGGAACCAGGACTTGTGAGCTGTTGTAAAGTGTGGCAGCATCATGATTATAACGCGTTTATTTCCTGTAATGACAGCAGAGTCTCCAACAGGTTGGTCAGGAACCTGCAGGAAGACACAACAAACACAGTCTCACCTTAGTTTTGCCTTTTTGTGCTCATGTTGTGTCTCTTTTTTTTTTACTGTTTTGTGCATTTTTACATGCTTCAGTGTCTCATTTTAGTTGTTTTGAGCCTCGTTTGGTTCATGTTGTGGCCGTTTTGCTTCCATGTAGATGTTTTCTAGTCAACTTTGGTCATTTGGCTTCATTTGTTTGTCCAGTTTGGAACCTTTCTGTCCATTTTGTGTCTCATTGCAGGTGTTGTGTGTCACGTTTGGGGCATTTTGTGTCTCATTTAGGCTATTTTGCATTTATTTGCAGCCATTTTGTGTCTCATTTTAGTCATTTTGTGTCTCATTTTGCATTTATGTGTACTCATTCTGTGTCTCATTTTCTTGATTTGTGCCTCTGTGCAGCTGTTTTCCATCTACTTTTGGTCATTTTATGTCTTATTTTGGCTATTTTGCATGGATTTGCAGTCATTTTGGGTCTCATTTTAGTAATTTTGTGTCTTATTTTGGTCATTTTGTGTCTCATTTTAGTCATTTTGCGTGTATTTGCACTCATATTGTGTCTCATTTTAGTTGTTTTGTGTCTCCTGTTCTTGATTTTGTTTCTAATTGTGTTCATTGTGCATCTGTGTTGCTGTGTTCCATCTAGTTTTGGTCATTTTGTGTTTTATTTTGGCTATTTTGCATTTATTTGCAGCATTTTGTGTCTCATTTTGGTCATTTTATGTCTCATTTTAGTCATTCTGCATGTATTTGCACTCATTTTGTGTCTCCTTTTCTTAATTTTGTTTCTAATTGTGGTCTTTGTACATCTGTGTAGCTGTTTTCCATCTAAGTTTAGTCATTTTGTGTCATATTTTGATAATTTTCAATTTATTTGCAGCCATTTTTTTGTCTCATTTTCTACATTTGAGTCTAATTGTGCTCACTGTGCATCTGTGTTACTGTGTTCCAGCTACTTTTGGTCATTTTGTGTCTCATTTTGGTAATTGTGAATTTATTTTCAGCCATTTAGTGTCTCATTTAAGCTGTTTTGTGCCTAATTTTCCTAATTTTCTTTCTAATTGTGCATCTGTGGAGCTGTTTTCCATCTAGGTTCGATCACTGTGTGTCTCATTTTGTTTATTTTGCCTCTTGTTGTGATGATGTTGCATCTTTGCCTGCATTTTGTGTCACATTTTGGTCCTTTTGTGTTTGATTTTTACTAACATTGAGTCTCTTTGCCGTCGCTTTACGTGGTTATTTTGCAGATTTGTGTCTCACTTTAGTGGTTTTGGTCATATTTGCTCTTATTAATGTTGTCATTTTCTGTCTCATTTGTTAATTTTGTGTCTAATTGTGTTAACTTTCCATGTGTGTGGTTGTTTTTGATCTAATTTTAGTTGTTCGATCTCTCATATTTGCTGTACTTCCCATTTTTGTCTCATTTGTTTGTTTTTTTTTTCATCGTTTTGTGTCTCATTTGTGACATTTTTATCATCTTGGTCAGTTTGTGTCTCAGTTTGATTGTGTTGCTCATTTGTGCGTCTTTGCCAGCACGTTGTGTCGCATTGTAGTCATGTTTTTGTCTCATTTGTGACATTTGGATGCAGTTGTTTTGTGTCTCTTCTTATCTGTTTGGTTGTTTTCTGTCTTTGTTGTGACTGTTTGTCTCATTTTCAGTGTTGAATTTTGTTAATTTTATGTCTCATGTTCGTCTGATTTGTTCACTTTTCTGAGGTTGTGTCTCGTTTTGCTTCTTGTTCTGACTATTTTGGATCTTTGCCAGCATTTTGCATCACATTTTGGTCTTTTCGAGTCTCTCTGTGGTTACTTTGTGGTCATTTTGTGTCTCGTTTTCCTCGTTTCCTCTTTGTGGTTTATTCCTTGTCGGGCTATCTTTGTTATCTCTGTGTTTCTTGAGTGTTAAGAAGCTCATTTTGGTCGTTTCTGTCATCTCATTTGGAGCATTTTGGTCATTGTCTGACTTTGTTAAGTTTTTTTGCTCCCATTTTGCGTCTCGTTTTGGTCCTTGTGCATCTAATTGTGGACATTTTGTGTGCCTCTCACTGTTTTGCATCCCGGTGTAGCTGCACAGTCTGTCTGCAGATGTGTGTTTGTTCTGCCGCTAGAATCCAGTGAAGTCTTGTTTTCCCTCCAGTATCTCAGCAGATTCACACGGCTGTTGTGTTTCTGTGTTTACCCCTTTAACCGCCAAACAGACACACACTCCCTGGACTTCCTCGCCTGCTTTGTCGTCCGCTGTAGTGAGTCTGATTCTGTGCAGACTGTTGTGTTGCTGTGTGTCCGCTGAAGCACGAACTCTGGGCAGGAATTATGTCCGAGATGTTGAACTAACACTGCAGGAGTCGTCGGAGCAGCTCCACCTCCTGCTCGCTGCAAACCACCAATTTGTGTCTCATTTTGTTGATTTTATGTCTCATTCTGGTTATTATGTGTGTCATGTTGCTTATTTTCTGTCTCA